AGGGAAACTCAAAGAGTGTTTGGGTGCATTGCAGACAGGTGAGTTTGTGTGACAAGAGCAGGCAGATCTGTGTAGATAGGAGGCAGAAAACAAGGCAGAAAAGTGACAGTGGAGAGTGCAGGAAAGGAGAAATGTCAATATTTGTAGTGGGATGTAGAAGGAAAGAAAGTACAGTGACTGACAAATGCTTGGGATGTAAAAAAAGATGTGATGTGGTTCTCATAATAAGCTTTGCATTTTGAGTAACAAGGAATGTTAGTACATTGCATAGAAAAATGAGTAGTAATTAAAAAATTAAACATAAAAATTATTATTTTAAATTCCAGTAGCCTGGTTCTTGGACACCAGTTTTGTTTCTGTATTTTCCTTCTCATTGGTGTAAACTCTGAATTGTTGGGTCTAGTTGATTCCTGGGAGATACTCATGTTTTAGCTTTGCAGGTACCTCTCCTCAGAATTGGTAGCTGTCAGTGTTGTCAGTCTTATTCATGTAACTTTGAAAAGTCACATTTGCTTCCAGAAATTCAGGCAGGAGGTGCCACAATAGTTGTACTCCTCTTGCAGATCACAATTTGAACAAACGAGTGCTCATTTGCTGGGGATTCAGCTATCAAGCAAACTTCCAAAGGAGATGTGGAAATAGTATAAAGATGCCAGCAACACTGTTGCCTTTATCTGTGTTAGGCAGGTTTGAACAAAATACAATACATTTTCAGATATATATTAAAAAAGTGTTAACTGCAAGTCAACTAACAGAAACAACACATTAAGAGGGAACTTCAACACTTGTTTTTGTGACAAAGAAACCCCATGAACTGCAGGAACTGTTCTGTTCCTAATAAATTTCTGTCCTGTGCTCTGTGTTGACCAGCAGCATAAACCTCACAAATGGGTCTTAAACTCACTTTTGATCTCTTTGTTTCTTCATAAAGCAATCATATTGCAGTCTACATTTTTTCCCTGATTCTTTGATATTTAATTAATGAGAATTAGGATCTCTATCTCGTTTCTGTGCTACTAGCAATATGTAGTAATAAAAACAAGGAAAATAGCCTGATTAGGCCTGAGACAAACTGAGTTTATTGTGTGGCTGATTCTCTGTCTGCCTTCAAATGAGAAACTGGATAAGAATGTCACCCTTCCCAATTATGTTGACTCCATAGATAGTGCCTTAAATTAAGTGTTGTTGCATTCCAGGGGAAGCTCTTGGTGACACTTCTCTTACACTTTCATTCTACCTCTACTCTCAAAATCTATCTGCTGTTGGGATTTTGACAGAGACTCATTCTTTGATGAGACTCAGAGTGAAATGTATTGAGGTTGTATATTACAGCATTTTAACTGAAGAGCTTTCTTTTCATGCCAGTGGGGACACCTGGAATGACTAGACACTGTCACTGTACAGTCCTGACACTGTAACAGAAGCAGTTCTTTACACCAATAAAAGAATGAATCCCTTCTGTGTAATTGAAGGTTTTCATACGGGTTGGATACATCTGTAACTTTGAAAATGTTTGCTTTCAGTTTTCAATGTGCATGGAAGCAACTTTGAAATCTGGTAGCAGCGTATGTGCGGTCGGCAATGAGTATGTTTTAGATGCATAGGTTAGGCAATGGCTGTAATCACAAAATCATAGAAGAATCGAGATGGGATTTCTGGAGGTCATCCAGTCTAACCTCTTGCTCAAAGCAAGCTAGTGTCAAAGTTAGATGTGGCTGCTCAGCACTTGTTGAATCAAGGTTTTAATGTCTCCAAAGATGGAGATTTCACAACCACACGGGGAAGTTGCTTCCGTTCTTAACCAGTGGCCTTGCAAAGATGATAGAGAGCAGCTTTTACAAGACATGAGCCCACTCCCTCAGCAGCCTTAGATGCATACTATCTAGGCCCATGGACTTGAGCATCCCTCTTGCCTAAGCAATCTCTAATTCAGTCTTCGCCTACCTCTATTCCCTAAATTCTGCCACTAAGCTAGGGACCAGGGTGGCAGACCTTGCCATTAAAGACCAAAGCCAAGAAAGCATCAAGTACCTCAGCCTTTTCAGTGTCCTGGTGAAGTCTGCTCTTTAGCTTGGACTCCTCTTCCTCCTTTCCCTCAGTATCTTACACCGTACCATCTTGTGGTCACTGCAACACATCATTGATGAAAAATTTTTATTCCAACACCTTATTTTTTCTGTGATTGCATGGTCTCTTGACAATTAGGTATGGCAAGGTATTTTTTATATTCATGGTGTGAAATTCTGTGGCTATTTTTATGCAGCTTTCCCTCAAAGCTTTTTGTAAAGTAAAGAAATGATTTGTCTTTGTAATTGCAGAGAGTGGGGAAAAAATTAATCTGCTTTCAAAATACAGACATAAAGATCATAGTATGCCAAGCAAAAAAACCCTAAACTGCATGAGAGGAAAAAAAAGGCAGATTTCATAACTAGATTAGCATTATGCTTTAACAAGCTTAGCAGAACTCAAAACTTTCAAGCAAAAGTATACACATATGTTAGAATTTAAGTCAATCTGGAATGTTAAACAGAATTTTTAGTGTAATGCAATATTTAATTATTTTCCAAGAAAACATTGTTGGGACATTTACTAATGAAAAAAATTATGTTATTGAAGGAAAAGAAAATGGAAAAGACAATTTCTGCTACGATCTATCTAAAAGTAAAAAAGATTCAGAATGTCTACCGAGAAGGGTAGCTGAAAAATGTCAATTAAATCTTTTTTTTCATTAGGAAAAAGCATGCCCTAAGCAATAAATTTGCTTTATTTCTAAGTTTTCCACAAAATAAGTCAGGGTGATTTTTTTCAGATAATTTTCTTTTCCTTCAGCCTTTTTTTCTTCATTGTGTACTTTTTACTCCTGCCGGGTTAGCAATAGGTAGACTAGTCTTTTAACAAAGTCCCTTTTGTGTAATGGTTTTACTACAGGCAAATGCAGGAAGATAAAGGGAGAACATAATGCAGAAATTTTCACATTGTCTCTTTTTAATTATTTTAATTATGTGTGTGCTTTCTAAACATTCATTACTGAAAATAAGCTTCCTTAAGTAGAAAACTGTATTGAAGCCATCTCTGCTGACTCCAGGGGGTACTCAGCAGGCACCTGGTCAAAGATTTTGGTTTGGTGGTTTTTTAAAGACTCGAGGGATACTACTGTATCCTAGGAGGTCTCAGGTCTGGAGATTATTGGGGATATTCATTATAAATATCCCCTGTAGGTTGTTCTAATCCATCTAATTCTTTGGCCCTGCTTTACTGACGACATTTAATTAGTGTTCAAGTTGTCCTTTGAAAGCCAAGGTTGCAGAAATATGAATATAGTAAGGACTTAGTATTTCTGGATAATGTTCAATGGCTTTTGCACCACATTGTGTTCTCTTGAGCTATTTTCAAGCACAAACCCAGAAGTCATGTTTATGGTTTCCCTTATAAAGAGAGATTACCTTTATGAGCGTCACTATAGCTTCGGTCTAGATGTGTTTCATTCAAAGCAGAAAGTTATTGAAGTTGGAAAAAGAGGAACAAACAAGCCCAGTTTTCTAAAGGTATCATTACAATCCAGGCAAGGAGCAAGCTAGCAGAATGCTAAAGGAACTTGTATTTGAAGTGCAGTTGGTTCAAAATTGTAGCAGGAGCTACTTAGCTTGGTTTTATTTTACTGCCAATACAAATTCTGTGACTTAAAGCTTTTCACACATAGTTAACAATAAGTATTTTGAGATAACATTAAAGTCATTACACGATGTAGCAATTTTTTGCATATTTGAAGGTGAGCAACAATGCAAAACTAACATATTAGAAGGTATATTAATGTATTTTATCAATTAATTGATTGTTCAGAGGTGCATGTATTTCATTATCATTGGTTAATGTTAACTTTGTAATTTTTGGTTGATTAAACTGATTCTTAAAACCTTCTTTTAAAACACTTAAAGAAATATATCTAGCAAATAATTTGCCTTATAATGTTTATAGGTAATTTCTGTAACATGAATGACTTAACTTGATTATATTAGATTGTACTGAGCATGCAAGTATACAAGGATCCCAACGTATGTAAAATGTCTTCTTAGCAAGATATTTTACTGAAATTTTAAGTGACACATAGATGTACTGCTTACCCCATAAAGCAAACTCTGAGTCGGGCATGGTTGTGGTATTTTGTTCATATTTCAATTACAATAGTTATCCAGGCAGCCTGTGAGGAGAGATGGGCACCTGAAGAGGGTGATCTGTCCGAGATACGGGTTTTGGAATAAACTGCCCTGTTGCAGAAAGCTTTATTTGTGCATTGACTAAAGAAGGAGCACAGAAAACTATCCTAGAATAGAAACCTGACTTCTAGGTTGCTAAATTAGGATAGATTAGTCCTGTTCCTTGAAACTGTAACAGCAGTAAATTAGTATTTGACGTTCTGTGGAATTCCACTAGAAGACTTTAATTGCAAAGTAAGAACTGAAAAAGGTGAAATTCATTAAGGGCTTTTCTTTCTTGTTGGCTCTATTTTCTATTTA